CACCAGCTCTTTGAGGAACTTTAGAGCACACACATACACACACACAGTATGCCACCAGGTCTCCCACCCCCACAGGCCCCCCAAACCACAGTGTTGGAAAGGAAACTGAAGGTATGGTACACAAACGCTGATGGAATAACAAATAAGTGGGAGGAGTGGCACGAAAGAGTCAAAGAAGCATCACCGGAATCATAGCTCTTACAGAAACCAAGCTTACAGGTATGATAACAGATGCCATCTTTCCAACGGGATACCAAATCCTGAGGAAAGACAGAGGGAACAGGGGGTGGAGGAGTGGCGTTGCTGATCAAAAATCGCTGGAATTTTGATGAGCTGGAGAGAGGAGATAGCGGAGAAGAAAGTGATTACATAGTGGGAACACTTCACTCTGGAGGTCCCAAGGTGGTAATAGCAGTGATGTATAACCCACCACAGAACAGCAGGAGGCAAGGCAAGAGTACGACGAGAGCAATAGAGCGATGGTTGACACACTGGCTAGAGTGGCCAGAAGAGCTCATGCATGCAGTGCAAAGCTCCTGATCATGGGGGACTTTAACCACAAGGAGATCGATTGGGAGAACTTGGACCCACATGGGGGCCAAGATACATGGAGGGCTAAGATGATGGAGGTGGTACTGGAGAACTTCATGTACCAACACGTAAGGGACACTACAAGAGAGAGAGGAGAGGATGAACCAGCAAGGCTGGACTTAGTATTCACCTTCAGTAGTGCAGATATCGAGGACATCACATATGAAAGACCCCTTGGGGCCAGTGACCATGTGGTTTTAAGCTTCGAATACACAGTAGAGCTACAAGTGGAGGGAGAAGCAGGAAGGCCAGGACGAATGAAGCCAAACTACAAGAAAGGGGACTACACAGGAATGAGGAACTACCTGAACGGGGTTCAGTGGGACAGAGAACTGGCAGGGAAGCCAGTTAATGAGATGATGGAATATGTAGCAACAAAATGCAAGGAGGCTGAGGAGAGGTTTGTACCCAAGGGTAACAGGAGTAATGAAAAAGCCAGGATGAGCCCATGGTTTACCCAAAGGTGCAGGGAGGCAAAAACCAAGTGTGCTAGGGAATGGAAGAAATATAGAAGGCAAAGGACCCAGGAGAATAAGGAGAACAGTCGTAGAACCAGAAACGAATATGCACAGATAAGAAGGGAGGCCCAAAGACAATATGAAAATGACATAGCAGCGAAAGCCAAATCTGACCCGAAACTGTTGTACAGCCACATCAGGAGGAAAACAACAGTCAAGGACCAGGTAATCAGGCTAAGGAAGGAAGGAGGAGAGACAACAAGAAATGACCGTGAAGTATGTGAAGAACTCAACAAGAGATTCAAAGAAGTGTTCACAGAGGAGACAGAAGGGACTCCAGAAAGACGGAGAGGTGGGGCACACCACCAAGTGCTGGACACAGTGCACACAACCGAGGAAGAAGTGAAGAGGCTTCTGAGTGAGCTAGATACCTCAAAGGCAATGGGGCCAGATAACATCTCCCCATGGGTATTGAGAGAGGGAGCAGAGGCGCTATGTGTACCCCTAACAACAATATTCAATACATCTATCGAAACAGGGAGATTGCCTGAGGCATGGAAGACAGCAAATGTAGTCCCAATCTTTAAAAAAGGAGACAGACATGAAGCGTTAAACTACAGACCAGTGTCACGACATGTATAGTATGCAAAATCATGGAGAAGATTATCAGGAGAAGAGTGGTGGAACACCTAGAAAGGAATGATCTCATCAACAGCAGCCAGCATGGTTTTCAGGGACGGGAAATCCTGTGTCACAAACCTACTGGAGTTCTATGACATGGTGACAGCAGTAAGACAAGAGAGAGAGGGGTGGGTGGATTGCATTTTCTTGGACTGCAAGAAGGCGTTTGACACAGTTCCCCACAAGAGATTGGTGCAAAAACTGGAGGACCAAGCAGGGATAACAGGAAGGCACTACAATGGATCAGGGAATACTTGTCAGGAAGACAGCAGCGAGTCATGGTACGTGGCGAGGTGTCAGAGTGGGCACCTGTGACCAGCGGGGTCCCGCAGGGGTCAGTCCTAGGACCAGTGCTGTTTCTGGTATTTGTGAACGACATGACGGAAGGAATAGACTCTGAGGTGTCCCTGTTTGCAGATGACGTGAAGTTGATGAGAAGAATACACTCGATCGAAGACCAGGCAGAACTACAAAGGATCTGGACAGGCTGCAGACCTGGTCCAGCAATTGGCTCCTGGAGTTCAATCCCACCAAGTGCAAAGTCATGAAGATTGGGAAAGGGCAAAGAAGGCCGCAGACGGAGTACAGTCTAGGGGGTCAGAGACTACAAACCTCACTCAAGGAAAAAGATCTTGGGTGAGTATAACACCAGGCATATCTCCTGAAGCGCACATCAAACCAAATAACTGCTGCAGCATATGGGCGCCTAGAAAACCTCAGAACAGCATTCCGACATCTTAATAAGGAATCGTTCAGGACCCTGTACACCGTATACGTTAGGCCCATATTGGAGTATGCGGCACCAGTTTGGAACCCACACCTAGCCAAGCAACGTAAAGAAACTAGAGAAAGTGCAAAGGTTTGCAACAAGACTAGTCCCAGAGCTAAGAGGTATGTCCTACGAGGAGAGGTTAAGGGAAATCAACCTGACGACACTGGAGGACAGGAGAGATAGGGGGGACATGATAACGACATACAAAATACTGAGGGGAATTGACAAGGTGGACAAAGACAGGATGTTCCAGAGTTTGGACACAGCAACAAGGGGACACAGTTGGAAGCTAAAGACACAGATGAATCACAGGGATGTTAGGAAGTATTTCTTCAGCCACAGAGTAGTCAGTAAGTGGAATAGTTTGGGAAGCGATGTAGTGGAGGCAGGATCCATACATAGCTTTAAGCAGAGGTATGATAAAGCTCACGGCTCGGGGAGAGTGACCTAGTAGCGATCAGTGAAGAGGCGGGCCAGGAGCTCGGACTCGACCCCCGCAACCTCAACTAGGTGAGTACAACTAGGTGAGTACACACCACACACACACACACACATATAAGTATATATATATATATTAATATATAAATATATATATATATATATATATATATATTATATATATATATATATATATATATATTATATATATATATATATTTTATATATATATATATATATAAAAATATAGGTGTGGGTTCCAAACTGGAGTTGCATACTCCACTGTGGGTCTGATGTACACGGTATACAGTGTCTGAACGATTCCTTATTGAGATGCTGGAATGCTAATGTTAAATTCACTTGTTGCCAGTATGCTGCAGCAGTTATTTGGTTGATAAATTCGACACATGTACAACTCTTGGGTATCTTTGTTGAGGAAACGTTTCGCCACACAGTGGCTTCATCAGTCCATACAAAGGAGAATCTTGAACAGGAGGAGAATGAGGTAATCAGTCCCTCAACCTCAACCTTTTTTTTTTTTTTTTTTTTTTTTTTTTTTTTTTTTTTTTTATTCAAGATTGATGGACTGACCACATCGACTCAAGGTTGAGGGACTGATTACCTCATTCACCTCCTGTTCAAGATTCTCCTTTGTATGGACTGATGAAGCCACTGTGTGGCGAAACGTTTCCTCAACAAAGATACCCAAAAGTTGCACATGTGTCTAATTTATCAACATATCGGTTCTCTGAACCATTCATCTACAAAGTTATTTGGTTGATGTGCTTGGCATTATACACACCAAGATCCCTTTCTTTGAGCGAGGTTTGTAGTTTTGGCACCCTAGACTGTATTCTATCTGGGGTCTTCTTTGCCATTCCCCCGTCTTCATGACTTTTCACTTGGTGGGGATGAACTCCAGGAGCCAGTTGCTGGACCAAGCGTGCAACCTGTCCAGATCCCTCTGTAGTCGTGCCTTGTCCTCCTCCAACTGAATTCTCCTCATTAACTTCACGTCTTCTGCAAACAGGGACACTTCTGAGTCTATTCCTTTCGTCATGTCGTTCACATATAACAAAGCAGCACCGGTCCTACGACTGACCCCTATGGAACCCCGCTCGTCGCAGGCGTCCATTCTGACACGTCTTCACGTGCCATGACTCGCTAATGCCTTCCTGTCAGGCATTCTCTGATCCATTGCAGTGCCTTCCCTGTTATTCCTGCCTGGTTCTCCAGCTTTTGTACTAATCTCTTGTGAGGAACTGTGTCAAAAACCTTATTACAGTCCAAGAAAATGCAATCTGTCCTCCCTTCTCTCTCTCTCTTGTCTTACTGATGTCACTCTGTAATAGAACTCTAGTAGGTTAGTGACACAGGATTTCCCGTCTATGAATCCGTGCTGGTTATCTTTTATAAGCTCATTATTTTCTGGGTGATCCACCACTCATCTCCTGATAATCTTCTCCATGACTTAGCATACATGTCAGTGATACACTGGACTGTAGTTTAATGCCGTATGTCTGCCTCCCTATTTTCTAAAATTGGGACTACATTTGCTGTCTTCTATACCTCAGGTTGTCTCCTGTTTCAATAGATGTGTTGTAGACTGTTGCAAGTGGTACACAGAGCGCCTCTGCTCATTCTCTCGGGACCCACGAACAGATCTTATCAGGCTTATATTTACTTGTTATGAATAATTTTCCATTTGTTTTTCTATTCGTCATAATTTAATTGGGCTCTCTGAAATATTGAGGAGGATCCATTCGTAACAGTTCACAGTTTCTATTGTTTAAAACAGTAATGCGTCAGTAGTGTTCAATTCATAATTTACAGGGGTAATGACATGCTCTCCTAGATGCTCACGATTGTTGCAATTCAAGCAGAAATAAAGCAGTTAGATCAATTCAATATGAATTTTTTCCATGATTTAATTCCAACAGACTTCAAGTACTGGGAAGACACTAGCGATGACTTTAGACCACTTGAAGGTTCCCTACTGCCACTCTGGAAGTTTACTAGTTACAAGACTCGTGACCTAATGGTGGCTGACATCTCCTGGAGCCCAACCTACCCAGATCTCCTGGCTGCTGCCTATACTCCAGGTGAGGTTTTCTTACTGAAGCTACGCCTCTAGAGAAGTTTTGGTTAACAGCTAAACTTATACATGCTCTGCCTATATACCCCGAAAGACAAAATTTTAGTATTTACGTCCATTTGATCTTGATATGATTAGCGCAGCTCACACACACGAGCTGCATCCCAAACCGACACTAAATTTGTGACCTACGCTTAAAGAGAAACCTGAGTAGTGGTACCTATAACTATTGATAAAATACATGAGAATCGATACCCCATTATAAGTTATTATGAACCTTAGTTTTACATTAAATTTTAGAAGTGTATCTCTCCGGTAACCATCGTAAAGGTAATAATACTAAATACTTGAGGTTCTCTGAGCGATCTGAGGAAGGTATACATATACTGCATATCCCCAACCTTTTATACCCTCACTACTGTACACAACGGTAACTACACAACCTCTTATACCCTCACTGCTGCACACGACGGTAAGTACACAACCTCTTATACCCTCACTACTGTACACGATGGTAAGTACACAACCTCTTATACCCTCACTGCTGTACACGACGGTAAGTACACAACCTCTTATACCCTCACTGCTGCACACGACGGTAAGTACACAACCTCTTATACCCTCACTACTGTACACGATGGTAAGTACACAACCTCTTGTACCCTCACTGCTGCACACGACGGTAAGTACACAACCTCTTATACCCTCACTGCTGCACACGACGGTAAGTACACAACCTCTTATACCCTCACTACTGTACACGATGGTAAGTACACAACTCTTATACCCTCACTGCTGTAACGACGGTAAGTACACAACCTCTTATACCCTCACTACTGTACACGACGGTAAGTACACAACCTCTTATACCCTCACTACTGTACACAACGGTAAGTACACAACCTCTTATACCCTCACTACTGCACACGACGGTAAGTACACAACCTCTTATACCCTCACTGCTGTACACGACGGTAAGTACACAAACCTCTTATAACCCTCACTACTGTACACGACGGTAAGTACACAACCTCTTATACCCTCACTGCTGTACACGACGGTAAGTACACAACCTCTTGTACCCTCACTGCTGTACACGACGGTAAGTACACAACCTCTTATACCCTCACTGCTGCACACGACGGTAAGTACACGACCTCTTATACCCTCACTGCTGTACACGACGGTAAGTACACAACCTCTTATACCCTCACTACTGTACACGACGGTAAGTACACAACCTCTTGTACCCTCACTGCTGTACACGACGGTAAGTACACAACCTCTTATACCCTCACTGCTGCACACGACGGTAAGTACACGACCTCTTATACCCTCACTACTGTACACGACGGTAAGTACACAACCTCTTGTACCCTCACTGCTGCACACGACGGAAAGTACACAACCTCTTGTACCCTCACTGCTGCACACGACGGTAAGTACACAACCTCTTGTACCCTCACTGCTGCACACGACGGTAAGTACACAACCTCTTGTACCCTCACTGCTGTACACGACGGTAAGTACACAACCTCTTATACCCTCACTACTGTACACGACGGTAAGTACACAACCTCTTGTACCCTCACTGCTGTACACGACGGTAAGTACACAACCTCTTGTACCCTCACTACTGCACACGACGGTAAGTACACAACCTCTTATACCCTCACTGCTGTACACGACGGTAAGTACACAACCTCTGTACCCTCACTGCTGTACACGACGGTAATACACAAACCTCTTATACCCTCACTGCTGCACACGACGTGTAAGTACACGACCTCTTATACCTCACATGCTGTACACGACGGTATGTACACAAACCTCTTATACCCTCACTACTGTACACGACGGTAAGTACACAACCTCTTGTACCCTCACTGCTGTACACGACGGTAAGTACACAACCTCTTATACTCTCACTACTGTACACGACGGTAAGTACACAACCTCTTGTACCCTCACTGCTGTACACGACGGTAAGTACACAACCTCTTATACCCTCACTGCTGTACACGACGGTAAGTACACAACCTCTTATACCCTCACTACTGTACACGACGGTAAGTACACAACCTCTTATACCCTCACTACTGTACACGACGGTAAGTACACAACCTCTTATACCCTCACTGCTGCACACGACGGTAAGTACACAACCTCTTATACCCTCACTGCTGCACACGACGGTAAGTACACAACCTCTTATACCCTCACTACTGTACACAACGGTAAGTACACAACCTCTTATACCCTCACTGCTGCACACGACGGTAAGTACACAACCTCTTATACCCTCACTACTGTACACGATGGTAAGTACACAACCTCTTATACCCTCACTGCTGTACACGACGGTAAGTACACAACCTCTTATACCCTCACTACTGTACACGACGGTAGTACACAACCTTCTTATACCTCACTACTGTACACAACGGTAAGTACACAACCTCTTATACCCTCACTACTGCACACGACGGTAGTCACAACCTCTTATACCCTCACTGCTGTACACGACGGTAAGTACACAACCTCTTATACCCTCACTACTGTACACGACGGTAAGTACACAACCTCTTATACCCTCACTGCTGTACACGACGGTAAGTACACAACCTCTTGTACCCTCACTGCTGTACACGACGGTAAGTACACAACCTCTTATACCCTCACTGCTGCACACGACGGTAAGTACACGACCTCTTATACCCTCACTGCTGTACACGACGGTAAGTACACAACCTCTTATACCCTCACTACTGTACACGACGGTAAGTACACAACCTCTTGTACCCTCACTGCTGTACACGACGGTAAGTACACAACCTCTTATACCCTCACTGCTGCCACACGACGGTAAGTACACGACACTCTTATACCCTCACTACTGTACACGACGGTAAGTACACAACCTCTTGTACCCTCACTGCTGCACACGACGGAAAGTACACAACCTCTTGTACCCTCACTGCTGCACACGACGGTAAGTACACAACCTCTTGTACCCTCACTGCTGCACACGACGGTAAGTACACAACCTCTTGTACCCTCACTGCTGTACACGACGGTAAGTACACAACCTCTTATACCCTCACTACTGTACACGACGGTAAGTACACAACCTCTTGTACCCTCACTGCTGTACACGACGGTAAGTACACAACCTCTTGTACCCTCACTACTGCACACGACGGTAAGTACACAACCTCTTATACCCTCACTGCTGTACACGACGGTAAGTACACAACCTCTTGTACCCTCACTGCTGTACACGACGGTAAGTACACAACCTCTTATACCCTCACTGCTGCACACGACGGTAAGTACACGACCTCTTATACCCTCACTGCTGTACACGACGGTAAGTACACAACCTCTTATACCCTCACTACTGTACACGACGGTAAGTACACAACCTCTTGTACCCTCACTGCTGTACACGACGGTAAGTACACAACCTCTTATACTCTCACTACTGTTCACGACGGTAAGTACACAACCTCTTGTACCCTCACTGCTGTACACGACGGTAAGTACACAACCTCTTATACCCTCACTGCTGTACACGACGGTAAGTACACAACCTCTTATACCCTCACTACTGTACACGACGGTAAGTACACAACCTCTTATACCCTCACTACTGTACACGACGGTAAGTACACAACCTCTTATACCCTCACTGCTGCACACGACGGTAAGTACACAACCTCTTATACCCTCACTGCTGCACACGACGGTAAGTACACAACCTCTTATACCCTCACTACTGTACACGACGGTAAGTACACAACCTCTTATACCCTCACTGCTGTACACGACGGTAAGTACACAACCTCTTATACCCTCACTACTGTACACGACGGTAAGTACACAACTCTTATACCTCACTGCTGTACACGACGGTAAGTACACAACCTCTTGTACCCTCACTGCTGTACACGACGGTAAGTACACAACCTCTTATACCCTCACTGCTGCCACACGACGGTAAGTACACAACTCTTATACCTCACTACTGTACACGACGGTAAGTACACAACCTCTTATACCCTCACTGCTGCACACGACGGTAAGTACACAACCTCTTATACCCTCACTGCTGTACACGACGGTAAGTACACAACCTCTTGTACCCTCACTACTGTACACGACGGTAAGTACACAACCTCTTATACCCTCACTGCTGCACACGACGGAAAGTACACAAGTCAGTCATTAAGTTCTTAAGTAGTAAAATAAAACATTGTGTGTGCAAATATTTACTGTCAGCTTCTGCATGTGTATGACTATACATATGTTCGCTTTTGTGCATATTTGCATCCGAATGTGAACTTATGTGTGGGAATATGTTTGTTGAATATGTGTGTTTTGTGACTCATGCAAAATGTGTATGTATATGTATGCATCTATATGTGTGTGAGCTTATATGCTTATGTGTTCCTAAATGTGTATATTTCTATGTACTGATGTATTCTTCTAATATGAATAAAAGCGAATGTGAACAAGAGTTCTTATATGTGTATGCATAACCATACTTGTGAATGCATATATTTGTGCATTTGTATGTACATATTTATATGCTTTTGCATGTGTACGTATGTTTATGTGGTAATATGTACGTATATGTATGTGTATTTGTGCATATGTATAATAAGTAAATATACATATACAAACTGAAGTTAAGTAAGGCAATTTCTGCAGTGTGGAAAAAGACACTTATGTTGGAGTTATATAGTTATATATAGTAGCCCTATATAACTCCAACAACATTAAAATGGTGTCCTGAACTGTACATAAACTCTGGTGGCCTGGTGGTTAACGCTCTGGCTTCACACGGTGAGGGCCTGGGTTCGATTCCCAGCCAGAGTAGAAACATTGGACGTGTTTCTTTCCACCTGTTGTCTATGTTCCCCATCAGTAAAATGGGTACCTGGGTGTTAGTCGACTGGTGTGGGTCGCATCCTGGGACACTGACCTAAGGAGGCCTGGTCACAGACCGG